AATAACAACAATAATGATGATGATAATAATAATAATAATAATAACAACAATAATGATGATGATAATAATAATAATGATGATGATGATAATGCTGATAATGTGTGTCTCAGCCTGTGACCAGCGACACTACGGCGCTGACTGCCAGCTCACGTGTCTGTGTGTCCCCGAGCACACGCGCGACTGTGATGACGTCACCGGAGACTGCACGTGTCAGGGCGGCTGGGAGGGACAGACTTGTGCTGAGGAAGGTAGATCTAGTGGTTGTTGTTGGTGGTGGTGTTGTTGTTGTTGTTGTTGTTGTTGTTATAGTTTTACGGCACTTGGCTATCTTATAATCATTACAAAGTTCTGTCTGACGTTTCTAGCCGTGTTGAGTTTCTCCGACTATGATGTCAGAAACTAATGTTCTCTCTGCTTTATCAAAGTCGTAAGATTGTTCAGAGTTGTTATCTAGATATTCCAAGAATTCCTCTCGGAAAAGCTTGACATGTTGTGAAACTCAAGAGTAACGTGAGATTCTTCCACACTAGGAGCTGATCAGACAAGGGCTTGTTCTTCTGAGGTAAGGATTTGTAGCACAATTTGGTCATGTAAGTGCTGGAGATTAGAGGTGTTATTGAGTGTAACAAACGCAAAAGAGAAACAGGAGGGACAATGATATATAGATGTTTGATAGGAAAAAAAGAACAAACGGCACCAGAGCACCCGCCAACCACCCATGGGAGGTTTGACTCAAGCCTTGATGGCTCTCACACACTCTGGTAGACAGACTAGTCCCCAAGAAATATTGGGCGGGAAGCACTTCAAATGTGCAAGGCCCGGGAAACAAACAGACTCAGGAGAGAAAATGCAAAAGGTTGTTTTTACCCTGTCCGTACGCCCTGGGGTCATTTTGTACCTCCGGGGTTGTATTCTTCACATTTTAGAATACCTCCAGCGCAAAGTTCTCTGTGAAACTTTCTGTATTTTTCAAAAAAATCATTTTGACTGACTGCTATGCAAAGAGTACTGATCGGATTAACAAGTAATTTCCTCTTTCGAAAGTGGTAACACAGAGTTCCCCCGTCGTATGGATACGACAGTAAAACACGACGTACGGATAGGGTTAAGTGGTGGCACAGAGTTCCCCACGTCGTATGGATATGGATACGATAGTAAAACACGACGTACGGATAAGGTTAAGTGGTAGCACAGAGTTCCCCACGTCGTATGGATACGATAGTAAAACACGACGTACGTATAGGGTTAAGTGGTGGTACAGAGTTCCCCCTGTCGTATGGATACGATAGTAAAACACGACGTACGGATAGGGTTAAGTGGTGGCACAGAGTTCCCCACGTCGTATGGATATGGATACGATAGTAAAACACGACGTACGGATAAGGTTAAGTGGTAGCACAGAGTTCCCCACGTCGTATGGATACGATAGTAAAACACGACGTACGTATAGGGTTAAGTGGTGGTACAGAGTTCCCCCTGTCGTATGGATACGATAGTAAAACACGACGTACGGATAGGGTTAAGTGGTGGCACAGAGTTCCCCCCGTCGTATGGATACGATAGTAAAACACGACGTACGGGTAGGGTTAAGTGGTGGCACAGAGTTCCCCCCGTCGTATGGATACGATAGTAAAACACGGCGTACGGGTAGGGTTAAGTGGTGGCACAGAGTTCCCCACGTCGCATGGATACGATAGTAAAACACGGCGTACGGATAGGGTTAAACAAACAATCATTATCTAAAAAGTAGAAAAAAAATGAGATGTGTCTTTTTGCTAGCGCAGTGACGATATTGCTGTCCATCTGTAGGTGTGGGCCACAGAGTTACCCCCTATAGTGTACATCTGTCAGTGTAGGCCACAGAGTTACCCCCTATAATGTACATCTGTCAGTGTAGGCCATAGAGTTACCCCCTATAGGGTACATCTATGGTGTAGGCCTCAGAGTTACCCCCTATAGTGTACATCTGTCAGTGTAGGCCATAGAGTTACCCCCTATAGTGTACATCTATGGTGTAGGCCTCAGAGTTACCCCCTATAGTGTACATCTATGGTGTAGGCCTAGAGTTACCCCCTATA